GTAGTTAATTTTTGATTCACTCTTACTTTTTGATGTTTCTGTTGGCGTTGGTGTCTATAGTAGATAAAATATATAAATTTACTGTATAAATGATAAAAAAAATGAAAGAACAATAATGACATACTTGTGAAATAGTATCTTCGATCTTAGAAACTTTCAATATAAACCTTGGCAATACATCACCTCCATTTATATCCTCCCAGGTGTGCTCACGATGAAAGATATTTCCCTGCTGATTCCGCTTGTATATCCAAATTCTTTTATTTCTGAGGTCGATCAACCAACCAAGTTGTATATCCGAACTAGTTGCAAAAAATACATGTTTAAATCGGTGGTCTAATTCTTCGAACTTCAATCTACCTTCAGTGTCTCCAACCTCGACAATGAACATAGGAGTGAATGGTTGACTCTGAAAAGTCCAACCCTGTGATTGAGTCAATTGGCGGGATATAGTTTTGGGAGTGAAAGAGACATCGAGTACTCTAATCGTTCTTTGACCTTCAACATTAAAGTTAAATCTTCCTTGTGCTGTTTTGATATCACTATTTTGTCAAGTTTAAATATTCCATCTATCAAGTTGCCTCACAATTGTTGCAACAGTAACCTCCATTCAGTGAGTGGCCTGTAGCATTGGAACAAGCCTTCCCTTCTCATCAAGTTCGAAAAGATCAATAGGTTGTCTGTTGATTTTCAAAGTATGGTATTTTAATTGTTCATTTAAATATTCAAATTTCTCAAAGGTATATGTATGATTAAGATCTAAATGGTTAAGATCTATTTTTTGTTCAGCTTTCAACATATTCGAAGCTGAGAATTGAAAAAAATATTAGGAAACGAGCAATTTATGTAATTAGATAATCATATTATACAAAATTTCCTTACTTATATTTTGAAGTATTCCGATGTATTTCAGGACTAGGATAATACCTTTAATGCCAAAATAACTGATGCAATTGATACAAGCAATCATAAGAAGAATGCTGGCGATGAAAAACAACTAAAATATAATATGAAAGGTAAGAAGCTATAAGTATTTACATTCTAATAAAGTCATTTAACGTACTAATATTCTAGTAGTGGATATCATGATAGTTATAATCCAAGCAATACAGATAGTACAAGCAAAGGAAAATATTGTAGATATTTTTGCAGACATTTTTGCGGTTTTAAAGATTAGCAAGAAGTGATTATAAACATTGAAAAAGTATATCAAATTAATAATAGCTTCAGAGATGCCTTTGAAATGTGAGGTAATCATAATTACTGGAAAGATGAATGTAAATCATCTTTATACTTACAGACTAAATTTAATGTGAATAAAATGATTCAAAAGGTATTAGGTAATTAATTAATTGTAAATAAGTATTTAGAGCTAAGTATTTATGTTTATG